CGCTAAAAGCATATTTTACTATATATTGTATGTATAATTGTACGCAGGAACAGGAAACAAATTGAGAAATGGCAAAGGTTTGAGTGCTTCCATATTTGAAACAACATAATAAAAACTTTGGAACTGTACAATTCAAAACTAGAACTGTCCAATAGGGACAAATACCCCCCGCTGGGTTTTTCAGAGAAAGTGCCAATTCACAAATATTTATGGATCTATGGATCTAGAGGTGTTCACAATTTATTTACAAAAATTTGTTGTGAAATGTAATTGCTCATTATGTTTCTTAATGAATGAAACAAAGGTGCAACCAATACTTATACATTGTAAATGTAATTCCATTGAAAATTTTTTTTTCTGCATTAAAATAATATATCGAAATTATATGTCATGACACTCTCCAAACTGATTCTTGTAAAAAGAATTCATATTATACATAATTGAATTAATCTAGATAACTTTATATCAAATTCATTTTGAAAATAATTAGCTGGTCATCCAGTAATGAAGTGCTTTGACAGACAATAAATTACAATTAAGAGAGTAAGAGAAGAGATATCTTTAATTCTTGTGCCAAATTCCCAGGAGAATTAGATAAAACATGGTTGATAAGAGATGCCTTAACAACTTTCCACACCAAACTCATTAATTTATCTTAAAATGGATGCATGTCCAGTCATTATTCCCAAGAGACAAATGAATTTATATTATATATACATATTGAGTAGTTTTAAGCTGAAGTACACATTTTTGTACTGATATTCTAGATTCATGTCTCAAACCTTATACATGAGCCCAAAATGAACAAGTCAATTTAAAAAAAAATAAAACCTGTAAAATACAGAAAAATAAATAAAAAAAGTTGAAAATCCCAGGTTTATACCTTAATACGGTGAATAATAAGTGTACAATTTTTCAGATAAATCCTTGCAATAGTTTCTGAGAAACGGTCTGCACAAAACCACAAAATAAAAATGAAAAAAATACCTGTAAAATTCAAAATAATCATCCAATCAAGATGAAAATATCAGGTGTACACCTTCATAATAGTGAATAATATGTGTACAAATTTTCAGACAAATCCGTCCAATAGTTTCTGTGTAATGGTCCGGACAAAATCTCGTCTACAGACAGACGGGCAGACGGACATGGTGATTCGAATATACCCCCCTAAACTTCGTTAGAATGCTAAATTGTTAAGCACATCCATTTTATACAAACGAACAAGGTTTAAAAGGAAAAGGAATGTGTGTCTTTCATTGCCTCTAGTAGTCCATAGTCTATCTGAATAAAAGTTTGTAGACGGTCTCTTCTTGAGAATGCAGACATTTTGAAAGTAAATAAAATGTATGTAAAACATGAAAAGGTCTAGCTACAGAAAACATCTGTCATTTTTGTAAAATAGTGATATGTTTAACTGTACAATTTTCACTGCCTATTTTGTCCTACCGAATGTTTGAGGTTTGTGGTGACATAAATTCACAATACATTACAAATTTAACATCTTCAATCTTCAGAACAATCCTTCTGGGAAAATATTCGAAGAATGCCATTTGACTGTCACTAATTCTTAATCATTTCCCCTTAAAAGAAAATTTGGTCCCTCATTTAAAAATGAAATGAATCCCCGGTGCTCTGTGGCACGTTTGATTAACATGATCAAAAAGGTTTCCTTAAAAAAAGTATAAAAAATTAAATTTTTGTCTGACACTTCTGTTTCTTACTTCTATATTCTACTTGAAAAAGACGTTAATGGTAACCTAAGAACCAAGTTATATGATAAACGTGATGACTTTAATTCCTATCGTCAACTTCCCTTACTTATGCGGCAATATACCTTCATCACCTGCATACGGAGTGAATATATCTTAGTTGATTCGATACGCAAGAGCATGCTCTACGTATGAAATATTTCTAAAACGAGGTGAGTTATTGACAAGCAAGTTGATGAAACATGAATTTCAGCAGTCTCGTTTAAAATCATCATTTTGTAAGTTCTATGGTCGATGCAATGACCTTTTCAGCAAATACTCGTATCATTGAGTCAAATGCTGACTGACGTTTTTCATACCAATTTTCTTACCGTTATTTTACGATCATGACAAGGAGAACACGGCGGATGTGACCGGTCAGCAGGGGATGCTCACTTCTTCATGGCACCTGATCCCACCTCTGATGTTTCGGAGGTCCGTGTTTTCTCTGCTCCTATTTTGTATTGTTTTATGGACTTTGAGATTGAATACTCGTTATCTCCATATCATTCTTGTAGACAGACGAACGACAAAAATGATCAGGTTTCAGGGTCACAAAACATCAAAGCTTCAACAAATTGTTAAGTCAATCAAACCAACTTGAGATTTAAACATGAGCTGCATAAAAGAGATCATTTTGATAATTAATAAATATTTTTCAGGCGATAAAAGATGACTTAGAATAAATAATTCAAAACACAAGGTGCAGGTCCATGACATCTTCTTTCTCAAATCTATGTGAAATCATTCATCGAAACTGTATGTTCACAATTCTTTTTATTGATTTCAATTACAAGTTTAAACAATTTTCCAACCACAATATATATTTTTTTCATAAGAATTCTCAAAAAAGTAGATATTTACTGCCTTCCTCTGATTTTTTTACGGGCTTTGCTGGAAGCAAAATCCTGGCTTTAGGCATCATGAACGACCATCCTAATATAAATAGCACAGTAAAAAAACAAACAGCGTCAAAGCAGACGCTTCCGGTAAACAAAATATCCCATTGCAAGACGATATTCAAACAAATATTTTTAATATCTCAATCGTTTGAAAAGTTAATGATCAATAATTTAATTTTACTTGTAACACGCCATTTGATTAAATAAAAGATTTTATCCATTTTGGATAACATAACTTGCCTACGTCACAATGAGTTACGTAAAATGTATTACTCCGCTTGACGTTACTTTTAAAAATAAATCATTATTACGCTTTATTCTAGGTAGAAAATTATCTCATTATCTGCACTGAAATTAAATTATAAAGAATGAAGCTTATTTCAACTTATATTATACGATATAACAAAACTTGGGGCAGTTTACGCTTTTTTATAAACCGCTTCACGGTTTATAAAGCGTACATGTAAACTGCCCCAAGTTATGTTATTTCGTATAATATAAGTTGAAGTAAGCTTCATTCCTTAAATGTTTTTACTTGAGAATTTAACTGAAAGAAAAATAATTAAGATATTTGCTTTTTTGAGATAATCGTGATAGAACAATTTTTGCACATACGTTGCTGAACGCATATTGTAAGCGAACTATCTTCAATAGCGCAGGCTTTTCGAAATGAAGTTGTTGAAGAATTTCATGTTTCATATCTTTTCGTCGATGTTTTGTTAGCAGTTTCAGTCTGTTTTGATTTTCAGCAAATTATTAGTACAGTGAATTGGAATTTTGACTTAACATGCGTGAAGTCGTTTGACAATGTACATGTATCAGTGTTTCTACATATACGTATGTAGTTGGCGATAAAAGTACTGTTTATTTGAAACTAAAAGAAAGTCTATAAAATACACATGTGCATTATTTTAATTAATAGGGGAGATAAAATTGTTCGCGAACTAATTGAATAACTTCCACTAAAAAAAGCAATATTTGATTTCAGTGTTGATTATATTTTAAATTAGTCCTTTCCAGTTTTAATGAACATCAACTACTGTTCTGAGCATGCGCAAATCACATGATATTGGCGGTCACGTGACCCCCTCTGTAGCGTTCTGTCACAGAAGCTGAAAGATTTATCTGAGTTTTATATTTCTTCCCATGTAAGTAAATATTTGTAACAATAATAATTCATTTGTCAGAAATGGTCAAATCTCGGCAACAGATCTAAAATGAATGGATAAGAATATCCTTTCCAAAAATAAGCACATATATTCTGTTTCGGGAGAGACGTTTATTCAAGGTGGATAGAGATTGGGTACCTCCTTTTTATCATATCTAATATGATTAAAATCTTAAGTAAACGATATCTTAAGTATTTGATAATTATATTATTGTTCAAATATTTAACTATTTATCAAGGTGTAAATTGGAGGTTTTTGATAGCAAATTGCTTAATTGAAAGCGCATATCTTTTTAAACTTGCTTTCACTGGGCAGTATGACTGGTATCATTTTTAATCATCTGGCTTCCTTCACTAAAACGACCAATCCAATAATTGAATGAATTTATAGTAAGTCATTTGTCTTAATAAACTGTGTACACATTATTATATGCTACGGAAAAGTGCTTTCTAAGATATGTTATAGATTTTACAGTCGTTTAATTGTTGAACGAGTACGACTGAGACAACCACTTTTCGTCACAAGTGACCTACATAGTGACGTCATTTTCATATTGTGACGTCACAAACAAGGGACAAAACTTTATTCAGCAAATGCTATTTATAGAACTTGTGTTTGGCTATGTGTGTACAAAATTTATTCCAATTTGAAATGTAGCTTTGTAGATATAGAGATAATTCGAGAACTTTTTCCTCATATTTCAATACTGAATCTTTAAATTATGAGGAAAAACTGCTAAGTAAATAGAAAATATGCGGGATTTTCTTAGAAATATTATTTTCTAAATTTTAAAAACCATAATATATCTTTCGGTACAGACTTTTAATTATACTTACTGGTATTAAGGATATTGTTTTAAATCATAATCATACAAACAACCCTACCTGTTTAAAATCAATAGCTTAAAGGAAAAAAATTAAATATGTACTCATTTCGGATCAAACAATAAATTCGAGCAATTAAAGCCCGGCTTTCAGTTCTTTCAATACTTTGATTGATATATCAACGCATTAACACATTTAAACGTTTGTTAAAACGCAATAAAGATCAAAATAAATATATATTCGATAGAAATATCTTTTTGATCTCAATCTCTTGTACTAAATTAACAATTTTAATGTCTTTAATTAAAAAAATTATAGTTTTTTCATCGTTTTCTTTAAGTTATTTTACTATAAAATCAAAAACAATTTACATAACATAAAAAACAATGGAGAAACTGGTTTCATAAATCTGATGTTGATGGTATATCAAAATCGACATTCTCATATACGTTGCTTGTTCGGTGATGATTGATAGTTGTATCCATTCTATTTATATCAGTTCTATTTCTTCGGTCATTAATGTACAGCAAAAAATGAGCAAATATAAATAAAACATCAATACCTCCTAGTGTCTCTATTAGAACGAGGAGAAAATCATTTACACTGGAAGAATTTCTGACTGGAAAATCAGTAGAACTCTTTGTTCCCAAAACAGTATTATTTTCAGTTATTCCTATTTCTGTTACTTTGCTAAGCGAAGATAGAGTTCCAATATCTAAATTTAAAAAAAAAAAAATGAATAGCTAAGAAACAAAAAAAACCTCACGCTGTATACTTTTTACGCGTAAACGAAAGCTTGACAACAAATTTAACAGAAATCTCAGAAATGCTTTTTTTTCTTTTTTAAAATGCAAATACCTGAAAAGGGCATAAATAACGGACTCATGAAAATCTAGCTTTTGGATCAGGTGCCTAGGAGGAGGACGCATCCCCCTTTGACCGGTCACAAAAAAAGAAAATTTTGCCAAGCCTTAAGATGTTTCAAATAATTTTTTTTTTCGGTCTAAGCTTAACTTTTATTGTCAATGATATTATTTCTTAGAAGCAAGATATTTACGAAAGGGATTATATTTGATCTAATAACCTTTACATAAAAGAGAATTTCAATTAAAAAAGTCGACCTTCTAAATATTTGGTCACATGTTTCATGTGTATTTTTTGAAATCAATTTCGTTTGCTATTCTCTTTTTCGAAAATCACGACGACGTATATATACATGTATATACTATATGAAACCTTTGACAAGGTTGGTCTAAGCTGCCAGTATTTCATAATCGTCCGTTTAGAAATGATTATCATTGTAAGCAAATTATTACTATTGGCTCTTTCATATTTGGTATAATCAACTATTCATGTGTGTCATAAATAAAACTGTTTATTTTTTTGTTCAATATTTACTATTCACTAAATATGTATTATTCAGTAATAATTACATATAATTGAAGACTGGTAAGCTGTTAAGATAGATACAAATTTTGATTAATAAAAATGTAGTAAAATTTCAATTAAATGAACCGCATTACCAGAGCTCGAGGTATCAACTGTACAACCAGTGGAAAAATCACAAGTGTCGTTGTCACAGTCACATTTTCCTTGACACTCGTCTCCATAATGAGGATAAGGACATGGGTGACTACAGTTGAATCCACTATATCCAGGTAAACATTCTGTAGAAAATGTTGAATGAATCAATTTTGACCATGAAAAACATACTACATGTACATGCTTTAATTTTTATTGGAAATTTAGAATTCTTTATATACTAGGTTCATACAGATAGAGAGAGTTTAATCATCTAGGGAAGATAGCTGAGAATGTATGTATCATCAAATGATGCTGAACATACCAAAACACTATCTATCTGTAATTATCGTGTTTTCTATAATGGGACATTTTTATATTTGAAAGTGTTTATTACTATGATAAGCATGTTATTTCAAAGCAAATAGAAATTAATATATGTTATTTTTTTTTAAAGAGAACTGTTGATTATGGATACCCCAAGATTTGAAACATACATGTATATTTAAATAACAACTTACAAGAATATCTGTAGGACAAGTTAGATATTACTTTTTGATCTACTACGACTGCTATTATATTTGCAAAAAAAACAAAAACAAAACAAAACAAAAAAACATTTCCTAATTTATTCTTTGAACTTACTTTCGCATTGATCAATTTCGATACTCCACTTGTAACCTGCACAACATTTATTGTCGTACCTGTAAACAAAATATTCTGTTTTATACATACATACTGCTTTATGAATGAAATGACTTTATTTCTTTACATTAAAAACACTTACTTAACACATGTTGGAATTTCCTTTGAAGATGAAGATGAACAAAGAAAACTAGATAAACCTAATACGATAAATGTTTCAATAAAAAACGCCAAATGATTCATGAAGTCTCGCAGTCTCCAGCAATATTTACACTGACAAATGCCGATATCCTTTAAATGAGACATAGTTGCGTTTTAATGGTTTTATATTAGATGTCCTTTTTCCGCTTGTGCGCATGCACTGGGAATAAACAGTCGACGACCAGATTTTAAGGACATTGTACATATAATACTCAGGCAGGGATATCTCTAACTGTTTAGATATGTTTTAATCTAGTTATTTATTATTACTATTTATACTGAGGATAATATTTTTGAAACATCTAGCTAAAATTAACAATTTTTAATCAATATAATAGCTCTTCTATTCTTAACTCCAAATAAAAGAAAGGATTTATTTGACGTGAAGACAATAAGCCCTTAAGAAACATTCTCAATTTTCAAAAAAAGAAGATAATACATTGCAAGGGTAAAAGTTAAAAGCAAAAAGTGTTTATTTGCATTACAACCTTTATGAAATAATATTTTACAGAAGCCACATCAAAAAAGAAAAATCATTTGAATTTTATTATTTTTAGCAAAGTATTTTGTATCATACAAGAACATTGAATTAACAACAATGCTTCGTTATTGATTTTGTAGCTTTTTTTTTATTAAGAAAAATTCCTTCCCGTTGATAAAACACCTGCTTATACTAATTAAACCTGCCAAAAATGTAGTCATCGTATTTCATACGTGTTCTTCGTTAAATGACCTTTCTTTTCAATTGGTACAATTGTATTTGATCACTTGGCCTTAGAGTTTGGCCCATTTTTCAATAAATTTATCTAGATTTAACCAAGAAAACATTGATGTAATGTATGCTGCTTGGACCTTCATTCTTCAAATGTACGAGGGATGATCAAAAAGTTCGAGAACTAATTGAATAACTTCCATACAAGAAAGAATATATTTGGTTTCAATCTTTATTATATTTTAAATTAGTCCTCTCCGATTTTAATATTCATCAACCACTATTCTGCGCATGTGCAAATTACGTGATATTGGCGGTCATGTGACCCTCTCCGTAGCGATCTTTCACAAAAGTTTAAATGATTTTTCTGAGTTTTATATTTCTTTCCATGTGAATTAATTTTTATGACAAGAACAGTTCATTTGTCAGAAATGGTCAAATCTCGGGAACAGAATGTGTTGATAAGAATATCCTTTCCAAAAATAAGCATGGCGACCATTAAAACACAAATCTTCTGTCTCGGGAGAGACCTTTATTCAAGGTGGATAGAGAATGGTTGCCTTCTTTTTATCATATCTAATATGTTTAAAATATAAAGTAAACGATATCTTTGGTATTTAATAATTATATTACTGTTCAAATATTCAACTATTTTTCAAAGTGTAAATTGGAGATCTTTGATAGTAAATTGCTTAATATAAAACACATATCTCTTCAAACTTGCTTTCACTGGGCAAGATGACAAGTATCATTTTTAACCATCTGCCTTCAATCACTAAAACGATCAATCCAAATATTAATCGAGTTAATAAGAACTCATTAATCCTAATAAACTGTGCACAAATTATTATATGATACTGCCGAGGGATTTCTAAGATATACATTAAATTGTACAGTCGTTTGACAACTATATTTCGTCACAAGTGACCTACATTGTGACGTCATTTTCACATTGTGACGTCACAAACAACGAGAAAAACTTTATTTATATGCTATTTATCGATCTTGTGTATGGCTATGTACGTACCGAATTTCATTCTAATCTGAATTGTGGTTTTGTAGATATAGAGATAGTTTTCGAACTTTTTGATCACCCCTCGTATATTTATTGTGACAATAAAACAATGATACGGAGATAAATATTTTTACATGTATCTTTACCTTTGAGCTTGATCTACTTAAAAACTAGAAAACTGACCATGTCAGCAAGGGCCCCGCCATGGGGTGGAATTTTAAGGATGCAGCTGATGATGCATTAATGATCAGAAGAATGATTAAAAAATATATGAAAAAATAAGCAACAGCAACTGTATTCTTAAAATTTTCAACATAATTCCTGAATATCTAAAAACCTGTAAATAATATCCTTGTATATCTACTTTAGGCAGTAAAGAACAACCTCACATTGAATGTATATATGAACAATAATAAAGTTTTTGTCAGTGTTATATAAATTACCAGTCTTCTATAAATACAAATACATATACATGTATCATGAAGGGTTGACCTTAACTTCAAAACAAACAGAAGTTGCAGATAAAGGTTTTCATTAATCTTAAAATGACAGATAAAGATAGCCCTACAAAATTTTCTTCAGCAGGCTAGATAATTAATCCCAAGGGATTAATTGTACCTCTCTCATCATTTTCTTCTAAAGCTACGATAAGAAATTTTTCAGTTTTAATATTAGAATGGTTTTTTTTATCCAACTACCTAAAAAAATTAATATTATTCTTGAATTTACATAAAGGAAAAAAAGTAAAAATAAAAGAAATGTCTTCTTTAATCTTTTTCTTGTTTTCAGAATTCAATGAAATCATAACTCATTGTGTAGAGTATTTTAACATAAATAAAGTATAAACATTTATATCTAAATTCACATTTCAGAGTGTTCATAGCATTCCAAATTGACTGAACTTCGAAACAAACTTCATTTGCAGACAGAGGTGGTAATTAATCTCAATGTACATGTGACAGATAAAGATAATGATTTGGAATTTCTTCAGGAGGAAAGCTAATTAATCCCAAGGGACTCATCGCCAGCATTCAGTTTACAATGGAAACATCTTCAGCAGTTATCTCTCTTTGCCAAAGCATTCTTATATAAAGTTAAGGAATATTCCCCACCACCCCAGCTCCAAACCAGGGGACACAGAGAAACAAACTTAGCATCAAAATTTGTCCTTCTGCCTATTGAACTCCCATACCAAATTTGATCTTAATTGGGCAATCATAAAAAAAGTTATTAGGAAAAAGCAGAAAATTCGTGGACGGAAGAATGACAGACGGACAGACAGAATGATCTCTATAGGGCACCCGCAAGTCCTTGCGGGGCCCTAACTATAACTTCAACGTTGCTTTTTAAGACTTAGTTCCAGGGCCTTCATATTTCATGCGTGTTTTTCTTGTGTTGAGGCCTTCCTTTGGATACAAACAATTTTGACCTTTTCACCTTGACCCTAGAGTTTGACATACTTTCAAAATTTTTAACCTTAAGCTTTAACATTTGAAAAGCTGATGCTAGGGCTTTAATATTTCACAGTTACCTTAATTTTTTTACAAGGCCTTTCCAGTGGTACCGCTAACTTCATGCTGTGAATTTTGAGCTTTCAATTTGGAGACCTGCAACATTTATCTAAAGCTGTCATCAGTGTTTCATAAACATTTCCTGCTTAAATATTAACGATATGGCTTTCAGTTACAGTTACACTATTCTACGTTTATGTCACCTGGCACCTTAGTTGTATGTCTTGTATCTCTAATCAATATGATACAAAATGACATCAATTGTTCAATCATGATGAAAACCACTCTCTCCTTTTTGGGCTGTTTAATGTGAGTACGAATTTTCAAAGAAAACTCTATGTTACAGGGCTTCCCATAAACATGTCTCTAGTGAGATGGACTTTGTATGCAATTTGTTAACTTATCTCAGACTCCTACAAGAAAAAACCTATGTAACCATCAATTGTCGCCTGGGAAGTAAATAAAGTAAATAATGGAAATGAGTCTTGATCATCAAACCGCTTTTATATTTGTGAAAAAGGCATATGCATGCGTCTAAAAAATTGAGATGATATTGGAGAATATTTTGAAAACTTATTTAAACAATAAAATGCTTTCTTTGTTTGTTGTTACTGGAATGAAAGGAAGCAGCTGTTGCAGAAAAAATACATAACCCGCGTGAGCGGGTTATGTAAATTTTTTTCTGCAATAGCTGCGACCGTTCATTCCAGTAACAACAAACAAAGAAAGCATTTTATTGTTTGAATTTATATCTGTTTAAATAATCAATTAAAGTAGGATCAAAAAGATTAATTATTGTATTAATGATGCGAACGTCTTTATACGTTTCATTGATGGAACAGCCACTGATTAAGAAATCTGTACAGACGACCCGCCTACTGTAGTTTATGCAGTGATGAACGCAATGGGGTTTCTTAAGAAATAAAGGAGAAAATATTCAGTGGATGTAAATATAGTCGAATGAAAATCGAACAAAAAAGATACCCTTTTAAACTTTATCAATTCCTCAAGTAAATGTTGGCTGCATAAATATAAATTGAAACCAGGCACATGCATCACCTAGGTATTAAAAAATGTATTTCACTTTAAGAATATAAAACAAGAACTGTGTAAAGAATGTTTTTATTCGACATGTAAAATTCGTTGTTATAAAAAAAAAAGGGACTTGTCGTTTTTTCGATAGTAAATGATAAACAACTTTATATATCAAATGTGAAAAATATATATTTTTACAGATGCATCTTATGGAAGTAAATATATTATGCATCTCGTAATATATAAAAGGAAAGAACATTGTGATTTTCACTGTCTCTTTTTAATGTTTAGAAAACCTTTAATTCTGAATAGCTTCTCCAAGCTCAATCTCCATACTACAACACTTAAATCTATACGTATAGAGCAGCCCAGTCATCCGGGCTGCAATAACTTGTGTTGTTCAAGTCACTTATTACCTTTAAAGATATCCCTCTTTCAATTGTATATCATATGTAACATCCATGATGTTAACTTCATAAAATGGAGATCTAGAGAAGTCAAAAATTAAATCATGCTGAATCAAGACAACGTTGTTATATTTTTTATCAGGTTCTTATCGTGCTTGAAGTGTGGAAGTATTTTCGAAGAACACTATGTGTTCAAAAAAACTGATATGCATTTATAACCAATTAAAATTATTTTTTTCTTCCTTTATTTGTTTTCATGCTATGCAATACAAAAATGCACACATTTTTTATTAAATTCACAACATAAAATGATTTTTATTTAAACGTACATTTATAATTTAGCCATGTTATGCATAGTTTTTGTATTTACAAGCATTGATTAGCACTACATGTGCAATTTATTGAAATTGTATCAATTCGCTAAAACTCGTTAGACGAAAAAGTGAATTAAGAGGCATA